AATTCTAGTTGTGTATTTCCAGGAGTGTTCACCTGGGGACAGCTGTGGGACTGTGTTCGGAATCACTTTAGCCTGTTGAAATCTGAATGAACTCCGACTCTCCTCTTAGTACAGAAGTACTCCTCGTGCTGCATTCCACACTCTCTTTAACGCATAATAAGTGTGAAACACGAGAATTATAATGTATTGGAATTTTACATAAAGAAAAAAGAGTGTCTGAAGTATTGTGTAAGGATAGAGAGAAACGGGTCCAGAGCCTGAAAGCAGAGAACTTTAATGTGTCCCACTGGTTCTGAGTAAAATGCAAAAAAGAGGAAAGAGTTGTAGTGGCTGAGGAATACCAGCTCTTGCACAGAGATATTCCACATGTGGGAAACCTCCTGAGAAAGCACCACATTGAAATGATTCTGAGTTAAAATATTGGAAGCTTCATGTATAGATCTCATGTGTTTCTGCTTCTCAGCCTTGTAGTGAGGGAGGGAAGGAGAAGGGAAGAAATCCCATCTCTAAGAACTTGCTCTGTCAGTCAGGATTTTTATAAAGACATTAATTTAAAAAAATACCTAAACTATATGTGGTCAAGAAAAAATACAAATAAATAACTATAGAGCAGTTAGTCTTTAGTCAGATGCTGGCAGAGTGGCTTAGGGGGCACAATTGTACTAGAAAGAGCTTTTCAAACAAATGTAATCCGAGTGGAAGTTGACTGCAAGCACATTTCAGAGGTCTACATTTGTTTTACTGTGGATTTTTCCCCCCTGCATTTCCCTCTAAACTTTTCAAAAAGTTCAGCTAATTGCTAGGTAGTGTGTACAAGAATATAGTCAAGGAGATAAGCAAGGAGCCTTCCTTATTACTAGCTAACTTCAACAATCAGCTAAATATACTATAGCTATGTCACAGGCTTATTCCAAGGAACAGAAACAGTTTGTGCCTGTAAACGTTGTCTTTGTGAAGTGTAAATAACCTAAAAAGAGAACAAGCCCTTGAAGTTTATAATTATACAAACTTATTCTCAGGAATTTACTCTTATCCCTCTTAGGATTCCTGTGTCAGGGTCAAAATGATCTTCCATAATAATGCACATATAGAAATGGAATATTGAGTAAGATTGGCAACATAAATCTATGCTGCTGTGTATGTTTTACCCAGCTGCCTGGTAATTTCACAGCTGTTTCTGCAGTTAATAACAAGTTCCATTGCTCTGCTTTCTGCAGAGTCGTCACAGTGCCCTGCTGCAGATTCTGCCTTGTCCCTGTTTGGGTTATGGATCTTGTTCTAAAAAATCCAATGACAGAAATGGACAACAGTAAATAGAATGGACTTATGTTTATTATAGTGAGTTCCTGGACTGCTGGTTTGCCTTTTTCTTTTTTTTGATAAGTGTTTTTGGGATTATATTACTTAGATTTTGTTATAGTAAGAGGTTTTTTTTTGGGATTATATTACTTAGATTTTGTAAGAGGTTTTAAAAGGTTTTTTTTAGTGGGAGGCCTGTTGTCAAAGTCAGTTCACAGCTAGGAAGACTAAGGCACAGGGAGATGGAGTGATTTGCTCAAAGAAACTGGAGTCATAGAAGAGACAAAACCCCAAGTATTCTGAGTTGTTATTCACATAGGTGAAGCGAGCAATAGAAATGAAGTTAAATGATTTTTATCTAAAGAAATTCATGTGCATTACCTTTTCCTGCCTAGCTCTTCTGGGGAACTTGCCTGGGATGTGATACTCATTATCGAGATGTCACATCATCAAAGGAAAATGGTGCAAAGGGCCAGAAATGGGAGGCTGCTGCCAAGAAAGGAGACAGAAGTGACTAGGAGAGCCAGAGGGAGAACATCTCTTGCTTAGGTTAGATTATGAGCAGGAGTTTGCATACAGTAGGCGTTTTTCCGTGCAGCACGTTTGTTCTTAAGCTGATAAATACCCCACAACTTTTCTTGTAGGAAACTTCCATGCTAGAATATTGTCACCTCCAATTCATCATTCAGCAACATCTCACACAGCCTGGAGCAGCTCTTCCTGCTGTATGACTCTGCCTTGAACTGACATATGAGATACCTTCAGCAATCTTCCTCTGCTTTCTGAGCCAAGGATTGTTAAAATGGATTTCTCATGGACCTGGTAGGTGTGCATGCTGATGGATTTCATGTCTTTTTGGTAAATCTCAACTTACACTAATTAGTGGGTAAAACATTCCTCTCTTGTTTATCCAGGGTTAGCCACAGATTGCCACAGAAGCACATTCCTTCTCCAAGTCCAAGTAGCTCCTTAAGATAGTACTTGTGGTATGATTAGTGAGAGGATGCTGGTGTTGCTGGGTATCTTTGCCTAAATTTCTAGCCCTGAAACTTGAACCAAATCACCTGTTGGCATAAGTCAGAAGTGACTTTGCTGGCAATGAGGATGCAGTGCCCTTTTTTCTGGGGCTGAATACCTTTACTCGCACTTCAAATAGGTTCTGTTGTTTATTTAACATATTAGTATTTCAATAGAGGTTTGTTTATTTGTTTTGTATAAATGCCTGTCTGCTTACATCCTATTACAGGCAAGAGCTGTGCTCCTCAGAAGTCAACTAGTATTTTGTCATTGACTTAATTTTTGTAGTTTAGAACATTTTTTAAAAATTCCTAATAGTTTTGTATAAATATGTATTTTTTTCTTCATAAATCTCTGTACAAGACATCTAAGACATTTTTATGCTCATTGGAGATATATCTGAAGCAGAGGGACAGGAACTTTAGAGACAGGAGTAAATACACTTGGATTGAAGGTTAAAGTTTTTCAGAATTATAATATTACAAGCCTAATCCAAAGCCTTTCCAAGTTGGGAAGTTTCCCTATGGCTTTCGTGGACTCTTTCTCTCCAATATAAAAGGCACTCAATCACATTTTATGATTCAGAGAACAAAGCAACAGAACCTAGGAGAACTTAGGATATCTGTGTTGTCAGCACAGATATATTTGCTTTTCTGATAAGCACTGAACTGATCCTCTTCCTGCCCTTGGAGACACCAATTGCTTTCACAGAAACACACAGAATCATGGAATGGTTGTGACTGGAAGGGACCTCTGGAGGTCATCTGGTCCACCCCCATCCTGCTCAAGCAGGGTCACCTCAAGAAGGCTATCCAGGACTGTCCAGGTGGCTTTTGAGCATGTCCAAGGATGGAGACTCCAAAACACTTCTGGGCTACCTGTTCTAGTGCCCAGTTATCACTCCCTCTTGAAGAAGTGTTTCCTGCTGTTCAGACTGAGTGTTTCAGTGTGTGCCCATTGCCTCTTGTGCTGTCAGCGTGCCCACACTGTATGCTTGGTTGTGTTGTGTGTGCTCAGCATTGTCATTGGGCAGGGAAGAGCTCCTCTTGCAGGTCTGAGCCCTGAAGACAGCTGGTACAGCAGACGTGGCATGGAGCTGAGCACTCTTCCATAGAACAGTCGAACAAAAGCTTTTGCAAACCAGGTCTGAACTTTCTCTCCTGAGGGTTCAAGGAGACACAGATACAAACTCTCTGACTAGATACTGAGTATAGCCTGTTTGTGCCTGTGTTTAAAAATAGTGAAATCCTCTTTCTCACAAAGCCAATGGTCAGTTGTAGGAGGTACTAAGATATAAAACCAAGGGCTGTCCACAATGAATGTATATATCTTAGCAACAGGGGTGGGAGTGGTGGGAAAGGAAAAAGAGAGTGCAAGTATCTGGCAATTAACTTCCTAGTCACAGATGTGAAGGTGATAAAAGTGATAAAAGCATTACTGCATTGCCAATGCTCTTCCTAGTTCTCTGAGCTACATATCATGCTGCTCATGAAAGCAAAAACTACACACCCCCCACCACAGAGTGGCAGGGGAGTCCTGGGAGCTACTCACAGCAGGAAAACTAGTGGTTCCCCCTCTGTTGCATGTGTTGGGGTGCACTGAGTGCACAGCCTGGTCCAGGACAGCACATCTGTGGTAGCGTCGGCGTTGGCAGAGGTCACTGTAGGCCCCAGGGTAGCCCCACGCCACCAGAGCCCCGGAGAGAAGGCCAAGGTCTGTCGTGGTAGCCCATAGCAGTAGAGAGCTATGAGCTCATCTTACCCTGATCAGGTGGGCTCTGGCTATGCACTGAGCTTTATGGAGCCAAGAGGTACTCTGCCTCATACTGCAGCTGCAGTCCAACTGTGCATCTGTGTCTAGAACTGAGAGTGTGTATACAGTATGGAGACAGGAGGAAAACAACCTACTGTAACTGAGGTGTGTGAATATGGCTGTAAGTCTCCCTCCCACACAGTAACAGAGATGTGGTTTCATGGACTTACAAGGGATGCATTACTTTTGCATGAAGCCGGGGTAAATGGCAAGCTATCAGTCTGGCACTGATGTTGCAGTGATGGGAGGTTCACCAGCTTTGATGTGGGTGCAGGGAATTCCACATCCACACCTTTTCACAACCAATTGAATTTTTTCACTTAGTAGCACTTGCATTGAGAAAGGGCTCACTGTTTATCCTGTTTTTTCTGGGCCAGTGCTTCCCCACGTTATTGTGATGTGCATTGGAGCAAATCTATGTACGTTATTGTGATGTGCATTGGAGCAAATTTATGTAATGTGTGTATAGGTGTACATATAAAGAAACAGTGCAAAAGCATGTGAGCAAAACCCAAAACAGTTTGTGAATTTCACCTCTTTGTTAGAAGATGTAATGCCATTGAAATCTAAATTACATCTAGAAATACTGACTTTAGGATGGAACTTAAAGTAGGGTTTGGTCCATAACACTTTAATGTTGGTGTCTGTCTTGGTCTGTGGCTGTTCTAGCTCTTAGGCACACACTGATGACTACAGTAAGAATTGATTCAGCTCCTCCACAATCAGTAGTGTCACAATTAAGCTTCTGCGTAAGTCCTTGTGGGGTCCAAGTGTCTGGTTGGTTTTGATCCCAAGTGGGAAACTTCTATGTCACCCATTTGTCACATAATGGTAATTGGTAATTACATGTTGAACTCATGCTTTTCTCTCCACAGTGCAGCATGTGCTCAGCAGAGCCTGCTCTAGCCTAAGAACTGACAAAGTCAAGACAATCAGGATGACAAACGAACCTATTAAAGAGATCCTGAGCACTCCAAAGCATCCTGATTCTGTAACCACAGAGAAGACTAATAACAATGACTGTGTGATAACCACCATCCCTCTGGTCAGTGAATGCCAGCTGACAGCAGCAACAGGGGGAGCAGAACTCTCCTGCTACCGCTGCACCGTTCCCTTTGGCGTGGTTATCCTCATAGCTGGCATCGTGGTTACTGCTGTGGCATACAGCTTCAACTCCCATGGATCCATCATCTCCATGTTTGGATTAGTCCTCTTGTCATCAGGACTCCTTCTGCTGGCTTCCAGTGCAGTGTGCTGGAAAATCAGGCAGCAAAAGAAGAAAGCAAAGAGGCGGGAGAGTCAGACAGCACTCGTGGCAAATCAGAGAACCTTGTTTGGCTAAAGACTACCAAAGAGAAGGCTGGACAGAAGGCAGAACCTTTGTAAGTCAACTTGGCTATTTAACAGTAGGAGAGATTGCAGGTTTTAATTTAACTGTGGAAATGAACTGAAATGAAAATGGAACTGACTGAGAAATACTCTTAAAAACTCTGCAAGTTCTCTTGGTGGACTTGGCAGACTTGGTAGTGATTCTATCCAAGACAGAGGAAAAAACACTTTTCCTTCACAGAAAACAGTGTCATCATAACTGCAACCAACCTAAGTGTGTCTCCAACATGCTGATCATGTTGGAAAGGGAGTTTGTGGGAACTAAGAAAATAATTTGAACTGACTTGAAATGCTAGAGATCTCCTTAAAACACACACTGTGACATTTCACCAAAGGAGAAGTCATAGCATCTGAAGTGACTACAACTTACCTGGGACTTAAACTGTAGCTCAAAAAAACCAACCCCAAAACTCCCCAAAAAACCAGTAAGAATACCCTGCAGATTGCTCAATAAGCTGATTCTTATCTTTTATGTAACTTTCCCCTCACAATATCTATGGTACTTTCCCCCTTTTTTTAAACCAACTAATATTAATTTTGTTTTGCCACTGAATAGGTAGGAATATGTAATTATATTGTCTAACCTAAGTAACAAGGTATGATCGTAGCTTAAAACATGAGACTTTTTTTGTAAATTAAAGTGGTCAGATTTAGCACTTTTGATTATTTTGCTATAAAATTAAAAAAGTAAATTTCATTAAAATAATATTCAGTCCTGCTAGACCTTTAGAAAAACTTCCTTTATTGCTATCACAATAGCTTGTATCTTCAACTCTGACTGCTTTATGATTCTGTTTTTGTGGAACACCCCCTGTGACAATAACTGTGAACACATGTACTGCTGCTCTGTAACAAAACTCTCTGTGGCCTGTGGACTTTAGTTTGATAACCCATCCCTCTGCAGCTTGTTTAACAGCTCAGTTATTGAAAAATCACAGCAGTCAGTTCTGCAGACACTTACTGGCACTATCAGTTTGAAACACATCTATTAATAATTACTTGTGGAAGCAAAGTCATGCGTGTAGTAAGTGTTTGCTGACTGAGCTTTGGGGTTATGAATCTTTATGAAAAGCAGGTGCCAGGTGTCCCCTGTGTGTATCCGAGATGTTGATTCTGTAACTCTTGTGTTCTGGCCATCTTCCAGCTTTTCTCAGTTAATGAATTATTGAGGCGCTGGTCCCAAATTGAAGCAAACCAGAACATTATTTCTTTGTCTGTATCTTGAAGGACAAGTAGTGCTGCGCTGAGTCACAAATTTCCACCCCAGCATGTATGAGGGTGTCAGGAGGCAGAGGGGCTGCATGGAGTCCTCTTTCTATGTTTTTCTCTCTCTTTTCCCCCCCTTACTTTCTCCAGACTCAAAAGGACTGGATGTGTTTTTTTGCTTTCCACTACTTCAGTGAGTAAAGCCTGTGCTGGTGTGACTCCTCTTTGCCCTCCAGAGCCTCTGGCAGCCACAATGGCTGTGGAAAAGCCACTGCAGAGCACACCTGCCAAACAGGTGCCACAGGGGGTTCCTTCTGCAAGTTATCCCGGAGCCATACCCTTCTCCTACTGAAATCACCCAGGCATTCTGCCTTAGGTGCTGCCATTTCCTCTGCCCTCTATGGTTTAAGCTTGTTACATCCATAACTTATCCCTGGATTTGCAAAGTGCACTTCATGTTTTAAATAGAGCAAACTATATGTACGGGAGGGGATGTTTGGGGTCAGTATTTGCGTTGCCACACACCGTGGTTACCAGACTCTATAATAAAATCACTTGCATCAGAGGAAAGCTGACAACACATTTTAGCACTTCCATAGCCCTAACTTAATCACGGCAGGAAGCTTTCCTGCTGCTAGGAGAACATGTTGCGTCACCAGAACATTTGACACCGGTGTCTAGTGTCAATCACTTTGCTTAAGGTCATTAAAAATATTAGGGTGTCCCCTTACGACGTACAGGTTTTGCATGAGTGACAATTCACGGGAAATGCATAGCATGATAAATAATAGAACAGGTGGACTAAAGTGGTGTCTTTCCTGTTTAAAATGAGAAAAGTGATTGACATTAGCCAAGCTGGATAAACTAAATAGGGCCGTTTATTCCCCCCCACGACTCCCTCCCCAGGAGCACAATAGGTTTTCTGACTCCTTTTTTCCCCTGCCATTTCTTTTTCCTCAGTGGAATTTTGAGGGTGGTCAAGGAGAGAGTTTCAGGGGCTGTAGACATGCAGTGTTTTCCACTATGCATGTAGCAGCTTGGCCCCATGATTCCCAGGCTGAGCCCAGAGCAGGAGCAGCCTGTTGCCCTCTCCAGAAGTCTTTCCCATACATGGGTCCTCCCTTCTCCATTGCTGTGGTGCAGGTGAACTTGCCTGTGGCATGTGGAAGGAAGGTAGACTTGCAAGGAGAGGCTCTGCTCCAAGCCATAAAAGGCTAAACTCCGGGAATGGAGAAAAGGGGGTTTTGGGAGCAGTTTTTTGGGAAAGGGTAAATAAGAGTGAGTAAGAGTTGCTCTGCTGCTACTAAAAAGTTTTCCTTTCCCTTATCTCTGCCTCTTTTATATTTGCAGTGTATATACAAGGACACAGGAGAGTTCCTGCACCACCCTCTGCCTTGCTAGTTGTGGGGCACCTAGGCATTAAGCAGCATGTGAGCAGTGACAGACAGCATTGCAGTGGTCCTAAACATGATCCCCTGGCACAGCAAGGCTTCAGGTACAATGTGGTGTCCCATAATACCACCTAATTGACAGGTTGGGAGGCCTCTCGGTGATATGGGGCTGCCATCGCACACACTCCTGAGCTGCATCCTAGGCAGACAAGGTACATGCATGAGCATCTTGGTATCAAGCAGTGAGTGAAAGTCTGCGTACAAGTTCGGTCTTCTTTGTCTTTTATTCAGAGAAGCGATACAGTGACTTTATGGGGAAGAATCCCAGCATCTGGTCCTGGTGTCCTGCAAGAGCAAGGCAGAGGTTGTAAGCAGTTTAGTCAGAGACCTTATGCTGTAAGATGTTTTCATGTGTTTCGTCACTAAATCATCGCATGATGAAAGTGACACAAACTTCTCCACCATGACTTGTGTGCATTGGTTCTGGGACAGTCTGAAGCAGTAGTAGCATCTTTTCTGGATTACCAGTGATGACATCCAAGACAAATCTCACAGTCTATGTTTTTTCTTCTTGCAAATCTACATATTTCAGACATTTTCTTCATTATCCTCTTGCTCCTTCACCCCTTGTTCCGGTTCCAGTGCAGAAACAGTGCATGCTTTTCAGCCCTTAAAGCCCAGTCACTCTAGGAGAGGTCCTGCATGAGCAGAATGTGGCAGGCTTAGCACCTTGGTTTTCCCAGAAACTGGTGGTACTGTTAAATATGAAGGGTTGCTTTACAGAAGCACATTTGCAATGCTTTTACAGGGCTCAGCCCCCTCAAGCTGGATACAACCAGCAACATTACTGCCTCAGTTATTGAACCCCATGACCTAATCTGGATTAATTTGGGATTTCATGCCTGGATGCTGGGTCATGCAATCCACCAAGTCCATCATACAAAGCCATTGGGAACTCCTCAGTTGCTGTTTGGTGTTTCTCATAGGAATCTGAGAGGCAGAAGGATGTAACCCTGTGGAGATGTCAGTGACTTTCCAGTTCAGAAACACCATCTCTTCTGGTGTGAAAAGGATTTGAATGCGACAAATGGTATTTCAGTTCTGGGAGAGACTGGGTGGGAGCTGATGCAAATTTTACTGCCACAATTACTTGTCTCTCTCTTCCTGAAAGCCTCAGCACCATTGCACAAGTGAAATTGCCCTCACAAGGATAGAAAATTATCTAATAGAGGAATTGCGCTGGTGCACTGCGCAAACGTTACGGCGATCTTCAATAATAATTTCAAAACCTAAGCACAGGAAATTGTGTCTGTAACTACACCCTGTATTGCTATTGTACACAAAGGCAATTATAGCCTGGGACAGTATTTTAAAAAGATAATCACTTTGGTATGACAATGGTTAGATTTTGTTCAAGTCAAAACGCCCCATTTACGATTCCTCAGTTGTTTCACATGTTGAGTTTTGTGCGTGACTGTGGCTCTAATACCATAATTTGCCAGGTTTGGAAAAACAAAAAAAAAAAAAAAGAGAAAGATTAGTTTCATGGACTTGTGTCAAGAATTAAGTTTCTCTGCCTTGGACACTTGGGAGATCTCCTGTTACCAAACACTGAATGCACAGTGTTACTGCAGCTCCTCAGAACAGGAACCAGGCTCAGAGTGTGGAATGAAGACAGGCCTGAGAGTCTACTCAGAATCCAGAAGGGTCAGGCCAGGAACAAGCCCTCTGGAATATCCCATATGCTTGCCTCAGCTTTGCTCATCCAGGGTCAAACCCAGGGCTACCACTCCTTTAATATCTGAAGTTGTTCCATGTTATTAGCAGGATTCACTTAATTAATCTTTCCAATGGCCTCCAAAATAAGAAGAATAGAACAATATTGTCAGCCATCATTGTCCATATATAGTTCCAGTACCTCTAATGTCTTTAGCTTGTTGTAGATATATCAGTATAAATTCTTTCTCAGCTATGAAGGGCCTTTATATATAAAAGTTCATTACATACCAAGAATTGCACCGTGTGATGGGAAATATATAAATCCTAGCAGGAATTTATGTGTAGACTAAATCTTACAGGCTAAACCATGTGGAACAACAATGGTCTTAAACTGCAGAATCAACTTGAATTTTTGGCTTTTTTTCAGGTCATTGATGTCACTATTAACATGACACAGGACCTAATCCTTCCTCTTGTAAGCAGCCAGTTGGAGTCCTATTGTCCTGGCTCTGTGCATCCTAAAATTTGTATTTGTGGCAAACATGGCATTTTTGAAAAACACTTTTTTTTTTGATTGATTGCCTTTCTTCTTAACTCTTCTGTGTTTTGTAGACTAAGAGAAAAAACAGAGAGAAAA